ATTCCAAAACTGTCCTCTTCTCTCCTCACTTTTCCAAGTGCCCTTTTTGTAAGAGGTTTCTTCATCGTTTGGAATCTGATAGATGCATTTTCTTCATGAACCAAATTAACTCAGTTTAGTAATTATGGGGTGGAAGAAAAAATATTGCCCCAAATTAACTTGCATTAAAATATATATATATATATATATATTGCAAATATGATCAGCCGAAGATATCTTGGGATAATAATGGAAGCAGTCAAATTACTTCATTTGGAATCATGCTTAAAGATTCATAATAACATTCAGTTGTCTAATGACAATTTAAACTTCAATAAAGTCTGTCTCCAGTACTATTGGAATTTGTGAATGGATCAGCATTCTTGTCCTTTTGAAGCATGTTGTGGGTGAGCATATCTCAGTTGACAGTATCTGAATCAGTGCGTCTTTCAGGGGGAGAATTTTACGTGGCCTGAACGAGTGCCGTTCCGCCTCACACACAACATGGTGGCTGCGATGGGACCACTCGGTGTAGAAGGCATGTTTCGCAGATCTTGTGAAATAACACTTCGGATACTGCGAGCTCAGTCTGAAACTTTGATGTCTGTTCTACGGCCATTTGTTTATGATCCTATGGTAACATGGCGATCAACATCAACATCGGCTAGACCCGCTGCTCGCAAAGAGAGTGTGGAGACAACAAATGAATTGGTATCTTTCAAATTGTTAATTAGGTTTAATGATTCCTTATCTATTGGACCTTAACCCTTTCACTCTGTCATACATTCAAGTAGCATATGAGACCAAAATGGTGTATTATGGCATTATATATGTTTTATGATTTTTATAATTCAAAGTTGGCGTAGCTCAGTCAGTATAGTGACTACTGTGGACTGGACGACCGGGGTTCGATCCCCGACTGGGGCAGAGGATTTTTCCTCTAGCCTCTGCGTCCAGACCGGCTCTGGGGCCCACCCAGCCTCCTGTCCAGTGGGTACCGGGGTACTTTCCCAGGGTTATAGTGCAGCCAGGATGTGAAACAGACCACTCAACCTACCTAGTGTTGAGGTTAAGAATGAGTAGGAACTCACCCCAAGCATATAACTGGATAGCTTTACTTTTGTATAATTCAAAGCAGAAGGTCTCTGATGATCATTTGCTGAAATATCTGAGTTTAAGTTTTGACAACTACAGTAATTCAAATGTTCTTTTTCGTGTATTGTGAGTGTCATGCCGAGGTAGTATCACTGACATGTCTTAATATTGTCCTGTTCAAGATGAATGCAGAATAAAACAGTTTGACTTATCAGTTGTGGACTGCATAAAAGTCATTTGCATGCGCCATTGTTTTATTGCTGTGAAACACTGTCAGTTGCTGAAGGGAAATTATATAAATTGCTATTGGCCAGTGTCTTGGCCACTTAGATACTGGATTTGTGGGTTCAAATCCTGTTCCAGGTATGGGTGTTTTTCCTCTTGCTTCTGTGTTCTGTTCATTGCACAGAATGTTTTTTGATACGTGAACTTCTGCTTTGCCGTCCATTTTCTTAAATAAGGCCATAACGAGCCGTGCTCAGTGATTGTCACTATCACATTCAAATCCTAAATAGTTTGTTGTCCACAGCAGAATGCCCATTGAATATCACATGCCTAATGTATGTTTTTCTGTAATTGATAGGAGGTTTGATGCTTTTTTTGCAGGCAATGAAGAACCTTGAAGATATAGAGGGCCGTGTTCAAGGGATGGTGCGTATTAAAGGCAGTCAGTGCTCCACCTTGGCCTTGTCTGTGGAGGGACAGGCCAACAACCTGATCCTGGAGGCAACTAACATTGACAACTTGTGTGAAATGTATATAGGGTGGGGACCGTTTATGTAATTCAGTTAGTGCTGTGCACAAGAAACCACCAAACACTCAGAAATATCAATCTGTATTGATTTTAAACACAGTTTTGTTATTATGATGCAAATTATTTAAAATCACTATTTTATGTACATCTTTGTAATTGCTGTATAAATTCTTTCCAGTGATTTTGCTTTTGTAGCTGGTTAGTTTGACAACCATCTCCAGTTGAGTGCCATACTAGAAGTAAGAAAATAAGGGGTAGAAACGAACAACATATTTTTTGGGTGTTTCAAAGTCTAAGGAAGGGAAATGTTATCAAGTGAACTGTCCAGCTACACATCTCGGAGGTGCTTCTGGGGAGAGGAGGTAAAGTTCCTACTCATTTGTGACTTCGTCACCAGATGGGATGTCTCTTTATGGCCGCACTTTACCCCCGGGGAAGGGACCACCAGCATGGTGGGTGGGCCCCAGAGCCAGTCTGGACTGGACACATAGGCTAGCAGAAAAATGCTTTGCCCCTGTCTGAGATTAAACCTTAGTTGTCCGGTTTGTAGTCAGACACTATGCTGACTGAGCTACCTCACTCCATATATTTACATTATATTTGCATAGAATATTGTAAGAAGTTATTTAGCATGCAGTATATTAATATTTTTATGTCCTGACAAGGCTCGTAGTGACAGACAAGTGCACTTTTACAAGGGGTTTCCACAACTGGCATACTTGGACAGAGGACAGTCCACATACGGTAGGACCTGGACACAATCGAGATTGATTTCCATATTTTCCTTAACATATAGGCCAAAATCATAGAGCATGTCATTGGATATTGTATCTTGCCAGCAGAACCTACTGGTTTTCAGTACCCGCCAACCTCAAGGTTCATTACTGTGTTCACAACAGCCTGCTATTGGTCCCTGTCCTGAGCCAGATAAATTTAATTGAGGTCTGTGTTAATATTATTCTCCCATCTATGTCTAAGTATTCCAAGCCATCTCTCTACTCTTCAGGTTTTCAAAAGAAAATTTTATATGAATTTCTCATCTCCGCCATACATCCTGCATGCCCTCTCCATCTTATCCTCGTTGATTTAATCATACTAATAATATTTAGTGAAGAATGCAAAGTATGAAACTCCTTGTTTGCAGAATAGCCGTGACAAAAAACTTTTTAACGAGAGATAGTGAATACAAGTAGAATGCTCAACGAAACCCATTCAGTTCCTCAGAATTTAAGATCTGAAAAGGGCTGATACTGCTGTATTTGATAAAAATGATATTATACATAACAAAATATGAATTCAGTTGGATGAAAGGAGTTCTCTAGCACGTCAGTATTATAGATAACAAAATATGAATTCAGCTGGATGAAAGGAGTTCTCTAGCACGTCAAATCCCATGTGGAATGACCGAGTCTGATGAGAGGAGACACAGTGCAACAAAATTTAAGATCAACTGAATATGTAACGTGCATGCAAAAATACTAGTGTGAATACCAGAAATAGAGATTATAATTAAAAAATCGCTTCCATAATGTAGGTTGGATATGGCTGTCACAGGAATTTGGCATTGTCCAGCTGAAATTATGCAACATGCAGATCAATATACAAGAGGATCACTAAAGTCATTTTATAACACTCCAAAAGTCTTATTTGCCTTAATATGATTATACATTTCTGTAGATACTAATTTGCTTATATGACTCGTGAATGAGTTAGAAATCAATACTGATTCCTCTTTAGAAAGACAGGATAAATATTTATTTACATCAGACTTAAAATTTGTTCACAGCCTTTAAACGACATGGCAGTGCTACAGAATGTTAAAATTACACACTTTAAATATGGTATTCATTGTTACAAAAAATTGAGATAAAACAAACACTTTCATGAGATAATCATATGCATATGGACAGTTTCAAAGTCTGCCTATACAAACAAACTTCATTGAAGTTTTCAGACAATATTTCCAAATTAGAGTGTTCTTAAAATAAAGTGCCTGATTTTGCCCTTCACAATTTTGATGCCAGAAATATGACACTTATTGAGAGAGGCGAATCTCTGCAACCTGCAGTGTTGATCACAAGTTCATGAGGCACAGTAAGCATCCGAGAATGAAGTTATTTATTTATTATTTACTGAACACTTAGTGAACTTCAATTAGAAATTTTTATAAACAACACTGCATGACATGCAATAATGCATTCCTTTCAGATTGCCAATCATTGCTATAAAATTTGAGATATTGACAACATCATTAAGTAAACTATAAGAGACCACCAACATTTCATGCAAATAAAAATGATGCTAAATATTCCTGAGAAAATTAAACAGTTTCTTGCAAGGAAACTTAAAAACCAAATACAATAAGACATGCAAGGCATTAGTACATAGAAACCAACTGGTGTGCGTGTCCTTCACAAGTGTATCCACAGTATTGTTGCGGTCTATGTTTTAATGGACCCCAATCTTTTATTTAGGGCTGGATACTTTGCACATACTTTTGAGATGTATTCATTATTGTATGGCCAATGTCATGATAAATGACCTCTTCTAGATTAATGAAAAACATTTGAGTTCTGACTGATCAGGAATGTTTACATGATCACTATTTTGGAAAGAAACCTATGTTAAAAAAAAGTGGATTTATAAAAATGTGATATCTCTGGAAAGAGTTCTCCTTTCTTCAAGTGCATGGCTGAGTACGCTGCAAGGAATGTCTGTAATTTTTCAACTGTCTTCATAGAAGTATTTTCTGTTTGTAATTCTTTGTGGAACTCTGTGATCAGTTTGAGTGTTAGTCTGGGGATAAAACAATAAATCTGACAAACATTAAACCTGTATAAATTAGTGGAGAAAGTGCTCTACTTCAAAAATTATAAGCCTGTTGCACCATAAATTTTAGCATTAGTTTGAGGACGAAGTGCTCTGCAGGCCCATGTGTTACATACAGGACGTAGTGCTGCGTTTCATAAATTATGAACTTGTGTAGTATCATGATAAATTTGAGTGCTGGTTTGAGGAGAAAATACTCTGATAAATTGTTTGTTAGGGAGAAGGTGCTCCACTTTGTAAATGACAAGCTTGTATAGAACTCTGATCCATTTTTGTGTTACCTTGGGGACAATCTCCTTTGCATGGTAAATTAGTCTGTATGGTAGTATAAATTTGAGCATTAGTTGGATGACAAAATGATCTGTTGAATGACTGTAAGCTTCCATTTCTTAGGGGACACAATTCTTTGGTGTATTATAAGTCTGTGCAGTTCCATGACAGCTTTGAGTATTAATTTGAGGAGAAAGTGCTCTGTCTGCTAGACTGTAAGCCTCTGTGTGTCTTAGGGGAGACAATCCTTTGTTTGGTGTATTGTAAGCCTGTGAAGTTCCGTGATAGATTTCAGTATTACATTGCGGAGAAAGTGCTCTGTCTGCTAGACTGTAAGCCTCCGTGTTTCTTAGGGGAGACAATCCTTTGTTTGGTGTACTGTAAGCCTGTGAAATTCCATGAGAAATTTGAGGAGAAAGTGCTCTGTCTGCTAGACTGTAAGCCTCCGTGTTTCTTAGGGGAGACAATCCTTTGTTTGGTGTATTGTAAGCCTGTGAAGTTCCGTGATAGATTTCAGTATTACATTGCGGAGAAAGTGCTCTGTCTGCTAGACTGTAAGCCTCCGTGTTTCTTAGGGGAGACAATCCTTTGTTTGGTGTATTGTAAGCCTGTGAAGTTCCATGATAGATTTCAGTATTAATTTGAGGAGAAAATACTCTGTTTGCTAGACTGTAAGTCTCCATGTTTCTTAGGGGAGACAATCCTTTGTTTCTTAGGGGTGAAAGCCCTCTGCTTGGTAAATTACAAGCATGTGTGGTACCATGATAAATTTTAATATTGGAGTGGGGAGGAATTGCTGTGATTGGTAAATTGTGAGATTCTGTGTTCTTTGCTCTGGCTGGAAAATTATCCTGTGTTCTATAAGAGACCCGAGTCTTAGTTTGAGGAGAAAGTTCTCTGTATGTAGCTTCCTTTAAATAGGTATCTTCTGTTGAAACACATGGCTGTAGAAGGCTGCAAGGAATGTCCGCAAGTTTGTAATTATTTTCCGTGGATGATATATTCATTGCTTCTAAGCTGGGGTTGTGAATAACATGTGTGTTACTTTGTGGAGAAATTGTTCTGATCCTTAAATTACAAGTCTGTGTTGTGCTCTGAGCAATTTGTTTATTATCTGGCGGAGATAACATACTGCCTGGTGATATAAAAGTACGTACCATGCTGGGAACAGCCATATTATTTGTGCATGGGATGAATGGCTGGATGACATGCTGTGATGGCTTATCTGTTTGGTTCTGCAACTTAGTAATAACAGAAGTTAAACGACACATATTAGGAACAGGACGTGGCATATCCAATTTGGAAATGTATGAAGACTTGTTATTTAAGCAATGTAAAGGATTTGAAAGATGATGACTGAAACATGCTGTGCAATATTCTATTTTGGGAGTGTATGTTGCTGACATATCAGGATTCTGAAGTGAGAAGGATGAGGTTGTGGCACTAGTAGGCACGATATTAGTGTCTGTGGAAGATGTCCATGGTTCTGTGAAGTGAAATGATGGGCTCAGTGAATCAGAATGATATTGCGAAATTATCTTTGTGCGTTGCGGAGTCTTGGAGCATAGCTGTGAATCTCGTTCTTCTAAGAGTGTGGCACGAATCTGGACATATGCCGCATTCTTCTCTGTTGGCACGTGGATTTCTGATCCTCCTGTTTCCTTTACGGCTATTCCAGTGACTAGATCAGGCAAGACAGACCTCAGTTCAATGTGATGGCAATTATCACTTTGTAGTAATTGCATAACTTGTCCATGGCCCATTGTAACAGCAATGTCTAGTGCTGACTGACCAAGGACATTACGTTTGTTTACATCGGCGTCATGTTCCAGTAGAAGATCAACCGCCACACTGTTTCCTTTCAGTGCAGCCATCATTAATGGTGTAATCCCTGTGGAATAAAACAATTTAAATGCATTTTTAAAATATACAATGAACAATAAATAATACATCAGATTCAACTTTAAATTTCTAGTTAGAAGTTTCCACTGCTAAGGCTTAAATATTTAGCACAACAGTTTTGCAAAACTGTATTTCTCATGCTGTGGGCTAACCCTGTAGCCAGCCAGTGAATCTTTTATCATTGGTCCACAATACATTATTTTCATATTATATTTAACACTAAATTTTTTTTAAAGAAAACATGTCGAACAAACATTTGTCATTACAGGAATTTAATTTACAAAATTTCTTCAAACTTCATTTACGTGTTCAAATTCTTTAGTTTTAATGAAAGTGGCATTCATGAAATTTTACATTTTGATATGATAATGATCAAAAGACATATACCTGTATGTGGTAGAGCATCATTTGGCCTGACAAGATCTAGTAGAATTCTAGTTAACTGGTTATGTCCAAACACGATTGCAGGAGTGAGAATAGTTGCTGATTCTATTTCCAGTTTCCATGGCAGTGCAGACAGTATATGGCCTACAGCAAGACAGTTGCCACTGGCAACGGCTAAAGCCATTACTTCTGCTCCTATTCCATCCACAAACCATTTAATTAGCAAGTGTAATTATCTATATTGTCTAAACACATCTGACACAAGCCTATCACAATAGCAATGAATGACTGATCCCACTGTGCAGACGTACGATTCAAATATAATCTGTAATCTGCGACTACCAGAACACTGAGATTACAATGTGAGAAAATTGTGTGAATGCCAAGAGAATTGTATCATAATTGACAGCAGTAGATTGGAATAATTTTATGGAGTGAGGCAAGAAAGTATAATAACCTCTCCCATGTGATGCATCATGACATTGCTTACAAACATTAGCCCTTCTGAATTGGATTTAGCTAATATCTGGCAAGAATGGTGAAATAAATGTGTCGCAGACTTCTCAACAGATAAGGCCAGCTAACCCTTAACGGCTTTTCAACAACAGAAATTGCACATTGCCTTGGGAATATAAAATCCAGCATGAAAGGGGTTAGCTTTGTAACTGATAATACGATATTGTAGGTGCGTCATATTGTGATTTATTTAAATAGTGAAGATACAATATGAAGGACGTGAACATGATAAGAAAAATGAAAACTAAAAATCATTAAAAATCAGTAATTCAGTTAAAAAGTTTATAACATAACACCTGATGATGGCTATATATAGCCGAAACATGTCGTAAATGTTCCACATGTAAATCGAGTACTCGATACGGAACGTAAAATGATATTTTAATCTTTTAATTATCTTATATTGTGATTGACGGCCAATTTTAAAATATATTTTTAATACTAATTAACTGATAATACATTATTGACAAAATAATATGGCAGAAAGGATCATGTAAGGACTTTGAAATATGCAGATGATCATGTTGCAAGAGGACAAAGGATTTATTTTGTAGTGTATTAATGATACTGTCAGGAACTGAAACTGTGTAGCGTTGATCAAAGTATGGAGGAAAATTGGTGGAAAGATGATGGTAAGCAAGGTATAAAATATATCGACAGAATACTGAAGAAAGCTCGTCCTATTTGGAAGTCAGATTCCGTCAAATGGCAAAATTCAAAATGCTAATTACATGGAGAATATTCAAGAGTCAAGAAATTTTACACCTTCAGAGATCTGACTTGGAACTGGAATATATATCAAAAAGTTGAAGTTGTTTGTTGCTTATTTTAACAGGAGGAGAAATTCAGATATGGGCTGAGAGCAGCGGATGAATATTATAACCAGTCGAGATGACTTCCTATGGCAGTACAAAGAAAAGGATAAAGGGCATTAGGCAAGATTGGAGATTAAAAAATAAAGGTCTTGAATAAATGGCAACTGGATAGACAAAATGCAAGGTGGAGAATATAAGTGTGTGATGATGTATCAAAGGGAGTGGGGGAAAGGCAAATGCAGACGCTAGGAGTGGTTGTAGTAGTAATAAAGAAAAACCCAGTGCAGGTTCCATCACAGGACAGCCCTCAACAGTTAAAATTCCAATAAATGATAATGATTAATATTATCATACCAGACTTAAATATCCAATGTAGATGCTCGCAGTTTGATTAAATCGAGGCAGTCTATTAAGGAAATCACAATTTGTTGAGACATTTCACATATTATATTAGTGTTCAGTTGGTTGCTTGATGAACATCTTCCATTCTTTGTATTGTCAGAGGTGCCTTCTTTAGCATGGATGGAGTGAACATTCATCATGCCATGTCTATAGCAATAGCCTACATAAAAACTATTAAATGCTTTTCATGTATATGTAAAAAAACATTAATATTGTTTCTATTTGCATGTATTAAACCATAAGAAAGAACTCACCAAAAATTCACAAGGATTATAGAAATATAATTGGTTACAAATAAGAAATTACCCATTCCATTTGTAAGCTGTACATTTGCTCCATAATGTATCAATGTACTAACAGTATTTGGATAGCCATTCCTTGCAGCATGCATAAGAGATGTCCAGCCAAAATTGTTGGGTTTATCAATAACAGCATCATGACAAAGAAGATATTCTACTATGTCATCTCTTCCATTTGCTGCAGCGACTTGCAGTGCAGTAACTCCTCCCTCATCACTCCAGTTGACATCTACCCCTTAAAGAAAAATATTTTCAATTCGGCGAAATCTTAGTTACATACGTCATTTGTTACGTATAACTGTAGAAATACCTAACATGACCATTTCTTTAACCATGTATATATTTCCAGTTTCACAGTGAATTTGAAATATACTTTCTTTCGAGTTCATTGTTTCCCCACAAGCGGTATTTTCGTTGCCACAACTTCAATGAAAATAATCGAATGCACTGAACGGCAATGAATGAAACATCAATTTCCGATTAGTAGGAAACAAATTAATTGAATAATCGACTGAAAACTATCAAATATATCGATTGTTATAAACTCGAAAATCTAAAGCATAATTAAAAGAAAATAATGAATTCACTTTCAACCAAATTAGCCCGCCATAGCACGAACCACAGAATGAAAGGACGGCAACACGAAGTGTTTAACAAATAATTCATGTTTATCCCGCCATGCGTCGGTTGGCGCGCCCGACGCTAATCCTGCGCTGTAAGTACCAACAGTATGAGGACGTTCAGAAACATTACAGACTAACATACGTCTACACGCGAAGCATACAAAATTGATTATATCATATATATGGCGAATTCTCTGCTGTCTTCGCTGTAGTCTGTTCTCGACAATATCTTCCCTTTACAAATATTGTATACATTGTCCGTGGTTCGTTAGCGTTCAATTTTCGTACAGAGTATGGAAATATCACACGTAACACAGCTTATGGTGAAAGCTACATATAATACCAAAGACAACCTTGCACTATAATTCGCGTCGTTACATGTCAGAGTTGTAACAGACTACCGTCCCGTCGTTTTCTGTCGCACAAATTTCTATCCAGACTTAGTTTCTGTAAGTTATCTATCGTACGCCTCTTCTGTAACAGTTATTCCGAAGCATAGACGAGACTTGTAGCTAGTATCTGGTGAAAAAAAACCCGATGCCATGGCAAATATAATATATCCGGCACAGCATTCATTAACTATAGGTATAACACTTTAAAAAAGTCTTCATATCCATACATATACATTTAAAGCTTTTATGTCCAGCAGCATTTCGTGTTAGAATATTTAACTCTTTCCAGTGTTTTTAATAATTTTGCATTAACATTTGCTATAACACTGATTAGCTACAATGAGAAAGACTAAATAAACGACTGCTCCCTGTTCAAATTTATTATATTGTGGTGGCTGACCTGATAACTAAAACCATTGTTACCACTTGCAAATTCCCTGATATCTAAAACCATTGTTACCACTTGCTAAATTTCATCACGAATGAAATGTGGGAAATCTATGTACCTGGTGGTATAAATACAGAAGTTTCATTCGTAGAACTTGAAGTCCTTCACGAGGTATTTATGCATTATGCCAAAAGGATTTCTCTATGTGAACAAAAGAGTGAATTAACTATTTTGACCGTGCAAGAAAAAATGGGTCTTCATGGTTTTGACCGTGCAAGAAAAAAATGGGTCTTCATGGAATTTCAGTGTAACTTATAGTTACCTCAATGTCAGACCTACAAAGAAAAAACTAGTTGAATGGGGCTGTGCATGTCAGGAGAGTCTGCACATGGAACAGTTCATGACTGAAGAAAATGCATGAAGTTTGAAGCTATGAGTCATTTGGTCGCTACAGAAAGGGATATCTCAATTCCATTCTGGCATCGCATTGTGTGTTCAGAATTCTTGGAGTAGACTCCTCACAAGTAAACACTCATGGCGCAGTCAAGAGGACTCCGAAGCAGGAGGTATGTAAAAGGTTTATTGGTTATGTTACATGAATTATGTGTATGGACTTCTTCTATTGGACAGTAGCTTGTTCTAGTAATGACACAAGCGTAATTCGCTGCAGGTGATGCAGATACTTTAATATCAAATATATTTCTTTGTCATAAGATTTGTTCATTGGGTCTTACTTATTTTCTTCTTAACAGAAGGAATCTGTGGATTGCAATGTAATGTATTACTTTCTGTGAAGAAGCAAACTGGTGTATGTGATGATAAACTTTAAGTGTTTTTGTGTATGGCCAACATAATTAAGCAAGGTAATTCTCAACCACAGAGGGGGAAACATGGGAAGTCTCAGAATAGTACGAAGATGTTGGAGGGCGGTGGATGTAACAGTGCTGAAAGTTGTACCACTTCTAAGCCCCAGTCACAAAGCAAGACTTTATACGAACAGGTGACAGCATTTCTACCACAACAGACAAACCTCTGCAGCTTAGTTAAAGAACACTTTCACCCAGATGGCCCTTGCTGGACTTCCATACATGCGGAGACCTTGCTGCTGACTGTTGTCGGATATTTGCCAGTAAGGAGCAGTTCAGCTGCTTGTGCAGTCTTGGTTGCTGTTATCATCTGCTGGAAAAACAATGTTCGCAGTCCATTTTGGACTGATATGGATCCTCCTGTACCCAGAGGAGTGCTGTTTGGATTCCCAATCAGCCAGCTCATGCATATGCAACAATCTTCTTTAAGATACACAGTAAATACACACATAGAAGCTTCTGGTTAATTGTGCATTGGTGCAGGGGGGGATAAGCAGGAGCTGGAAGGTTTATAATCTGTGAAGCAACAGATATTAATCCAGTAAATAATTTTAACAATGTGAAATAAATCCATCGTATGTTTTTAAACAAGTTACCCACTGTGTAACCACTGATTATGTTACAATCTGTTGAATTTCTGGGGCTAAAGGTTACTTGACTTTGTTGTATGCACAATGGACTGTATTATACATTGCTAAGACCCAGAGGTTCATGAGGAGAAAATGGCTAGCTGTCTTGTTTTTGAACAGGTGACAGCATTTCTACCACAACAGACAAACCTCTGCAGCTTAGTTAAAGAACACTTTCACCCAGATGGCCCTTGCTGGACTTCCATACATGCGGAGACCTTGCTGCTGACTGTTGTCGGATATTTGCCAGTAAGGAGGAGTTCAGCTGCTTGTGCAATCTTGGTTGCTGTTATCATCTGCTGGAAGAAGAATAAGTTTGGGCCCTATAGCCGGATATACTGGTAAAGTACAAAAAAGATCTGGTAAGAACTTATAATGTTTCTGTCGAGAGACCACAGATACATTTTTTTATCTATTTGCTTATGTTTTGTTTGGCACTGTCAATAGCTGAGACCAAAAAGCATCAAATTTTAGGATAATTAATGAACTGAAGGGGTTATGGAAGGACGTCATGACCTAGTTTAATGTACTGTCCTAACATTTGCCTGAAGGGACTGAAGTAAACCACAACACAGGCTATTCAGTGTCTGAGCCAAGATTTTAACCCAAGATCTCCTGAATATGTAGTAGTGCTAACCATTTAGTTGTGGCAGTCGTATGTGTTCTGAATTTATTAAATAGTTGCATTTTTATGAGCTTCAAATTCCTCAAAAGTTGTCAAACATAACCTTAAGTGATTTGTCATGAAGCTAACTGTATGGAACCGAGTCCTTATCGTTTACAGTTGCACAAGTAATCAAATTTCTGGCATTTTATAGACACAAAAGGCTTGTTACCATGTTTTGAAGAGCCAGCTACTGGTCGGTGTTGAGCCAAGTGAATTCAAATAAGTCTAATTTAATAATATCCTACTATCTC